TTTCTGTGAGGTAGTACAGTGTTTGAGTAGTTTCAGCATGATGGATTACTTTTAGTAGTAGTTTTTGAAGAAAAGAATATAGAATGGAAAATTGGCCAAAACTCAAGCTTTCAATATTGGTATCAGCATTGGAAAAGAAAATCCGGCATTGTGCCATTTATTTAACTTAACATATTGTCTCAGCAAAACCTCCTATCTCCAAAATAGTAACTTTTCAGGAGGAGGAAAAAACTTTGCTTACTTTGAATGCAGGTGGAATAAGATTTTGTTTGAGGTAATTTTGGATTGTTTCTATTGTGCCATTCATTCTGTAATTTTAAGACACTGTAAAAGGGTGAGATGATATACACCCTTAAAAATATTAGTTCTTCTTAATTTAGATGTATGGACCTAGAAAATATCCTTAGTTGATATAGAACCTTTACATTGTATGAAGATTCTTTAACCCCTTAAAATGCCAGGCTTATTACATGCTAAGGCTTATTATTTAGTAAATACAAGGACTTCATTGCAAACTCAGTGGGCCCTGGCCTTGTATGGGTTTAAACTTCAAAGAGGTTCTTCATACTCGCATCTCATTTACAAAAATGGTTCTATAAAGAACCATCCATTGAAAGGTTCTCTAAGGACCCGAATGTAGTTATTCTGTGGTACCGCTCAAAGAACAATCTCTGGCACCTTTATTTTTAAGAGTGTATTTTGTACTGATATTTACTCCACACATTCTTTTCCACTGACACTGTAATAATAATGAAAAATGGTACAGTGCACTGTGGTTACACTATTATATTTCAAAAACTGTACAGACAATTTGTCTGTAGTTTAATTGTTCTGTGTGTAAACACAATGTACTGCGTTTGCCCTGTCAGTGATCAGCTGGTATTCCTATAGTCTCTGATGTATTTATTGTCAAAATCAAAGCAGTGTTGAAATGAGCAGTGTTTAAATGTGCATGATGACAGCATCCTAAGTGTAGACTGATCTGATGACAGTAGCAGTCAACAAGGCATAGAAACTCTGTGTTGTGTGAGTGCCTTTTTTTGAGCGTAAAACAGAGCTAAATGATCTCGCACACAAATCAGTCAGTGGTTCCAGTCCCCGAGGGTCCACAGAAAACACTGATCGGCTCGCTGAATGGCTGTCAGTCAGCTCTTCTGTCATGAATTGATGCATCCTGCTGGAAGAGACCACAGCCCCTTTTCTTTCACACGATGTGCTGCAGTGCTTGGTTGCTACACTCTTAAAAAATAAAGTTTCTACATGCTGCTTTTTTTGGACATGAAGTTCTAGGAAAACTGTAATATAACCTTTAACTGTAATATAACCTTTACATTATGTTGACTTTAAAAGAGTATTCCATACTAAAGCTTTCACCATGTCATACTGAAGAACTTAATTCTAAAGCTTTACATTTACAGAAGTGTTTTTTTTGTCAAAGGTCCATCCATTGAAAGGTTCTTTAGGGAACCAAAAAATCACTATGTTGGTTTTAATCAGTGTTCTTTTCATTGATGTTCTAACCGAGTAAAGTTGAGTTGTGTTGTTTTAATGAAATACAGCCAGTTACGAGGTTTACTTGATAAAAAATTGTTGAATCAATGCAACCTTGTTTACTAAACAAGCCACTTCTTTAGTGAGCCACTTAGCCTCATTGTAATGGCTGTAAAAGCGATTTACTATCAGTGTTGGATAGTACTGGTACTGTAATTCCACTACTGTAACAGTGATGAGTAATGTATCTAATTACCTTTTCAAATTAAACAGCACAATTACAATTACTGAAATTTAAATGGGCTTGTTACTCGTTACTTTTGTCTTGCACAAAAATATTAATGGACAACTGCAGACTATAGATTTAACATCACAGTGGCAAAACAAATGGGTGAATCAATCAGTATTAGCCCACACAATGGTCAACAGTTTGGGCAATATGAGCTTGCTGTCCTGAAAATATGGGTATTATTTTTACCTTTTTGAGATCAAGGATAAAAATATACTGGTGAGTTGTAGTCTATGTGCAGGTGTGAAAACCTTTTCCACATCAAAGAATAGTAATCCTAATCTTCTGGCAAAACATGCTTCTATAGTACTAATTGTGAAAGACCCTAGTGCTAGCACCATTGACCAATAGGTCATTCCGTTCCAACAGCCTAGGCTTGATGTTAAACCCAAGAATTTGTCTGCACAGTCTGTATTCCAGGCAGAGCTAAACAGACTGATTGCCAGGTATATTGTTGAAGATATACAACCTATGTCAGCATTTAGAATGTCAACATTTAGAAATAACTCAAAAGTAACTTTCCCTAGTAACTAATTACTTTCATTTGCAGTAATTAGTAAAAGTAATTCAGTTACTTTTGAAAAAAGTAACTCATAACTGTAACTAATTACTAATTTTGAGTTACTTGCATAACACTGGTTATACTGATTAATGTATCTTGCTGCTGAGCATGTTTCTGTGACAGTTGTACAGTAAAACTGAAGCAAGTTTACTTACTTGTTTCTTCCGTAAACCTATAATTCCTGTTGCTTCTTCTGCTTTCAGTTGGGTGTAACCATATTAAGTTGAAGTAAGCTGGAGTAACACATAAAAAACCATCAGTCCAGTTAATTAGAATGTACTCAATCACTTTTGTGTGATTTACTGTAGTTCATTCAGTATGTATTACCAATATGTATTATCAAATTTCTTAAAAGCTACTTAACGTAGTTTCATCAAAGAAGCTGACATATCACATATGACGATTTTAAGTATATTCAAAATGTCTTTTTCGAGTGCAGGAACTGTATGAAATGGATGCCAGATGACTTAAACAAAGATAGCACTATAGCTCGTTCAACACTGCACAGGTTTTTTTGAACAAGGGCTGATACTGCAGGCAGATCATTAACCGTTAGCTGTGATGCTTCAGAGGTTCAGCTGTGTGTCTGAGAGAGAAGGTGGGATTCTGGTGGGCTGTGTGTTGATTTTATACTAACTCTGCACGGAAAGACAAACACTGGACAGACAAGAAACAAAAACATTTTTTTCCGGATGCATAAACAGCATAACTGCTCAGACAATGTAGAAAAGTTTACTTTTGCTGCAGAAACTTAAAACCCCACCACAGATGATGTGCCTTATGCCAAAGATTAGACCACAACTTTCCTCTCATTACCACTTCACATTAACTCAAAAGGAAAGAAGAAAAAAGCCAAAGCTTTGAGATTGAGATTGCTGTCATGTTGGTTTGAGGGGATGTCAAATTGCAACAAAGTTTCAGGGATATCATTCACTGAGTTCTTAGGAGCTGCTGACACAACTGAGGGTGTGAGAGGCCAGACGGGCATGGCCCGTTTAAGCTCGGCACAGACGTACAGACAAGGCGCCCTGAAACGCTGACCGCTCCTTAAGTGGCTTCCTTCATGCATCCCTGAGTCACAAAGAGAGGGAAATGACAAAAATGTCTTTATGCGGCTCTTCTCTCAGACAACCCATGCACACTTTGTGTTTAGTTTGCAGTTGCATGCAGCTGTCTTTTGAACCCCCTTCAGTTCACTTTTAGGTTTAAGAAGTTGTTTCCTGCCTGAATCATGGCCCTGATACGCGTTAATCAGTAAGTGAGCTCCCTCCTCTGGCACAATATTAGAGGAAACGTGTTGTTTTATCTTTATTCTTAATTCTTTCTCTTTTAGTAGATAATCATGATCAGCTGCCAGAAAGCTCAGTCTGATTTGATGTATTAGTGGGAATCAAGCACATATGACTTCAACTTGACTTCAGTGCAAAAAGGGTTGAGACTGTAGAAAAAAGCTTTGAAAAGTTTTATATTCTGAAACTTCAAGATGTGTGGGAGAAAAGGAAAAAATGTGAAAAGAAAGAAAAAGAACAAAGCTATTTTTTCATATTGTTCTTTTAATACTCTCTTAAAAATAAAAGTACCTAAACGTTTCCTGACTTGGATGTAAAGTTCTAGGAAAAACTTTTAATTAGTAAAGGGCTTTTACATTATGTGGGGATTGTAAGGTTCTTCACACTTGTACATCTCATTTACAGAAAAGGTTCTAAAGAACTATGCACTGAAAGATTCTTTAGGGAACCAAAAGTGGGTCTGAAACCCTTTTGGCAGTAAACACAGTAAAAAGGTACTAAACTATCTCTGGGGTGGTACCCTCAAGTATATAACTTAAATACCTTTAGTCTGGGAACGTAATTGTACGGCATTCCATTGTAATCATATTTATGGCTTTTTATTTTATTTATTTATTTATTTATTTTAAAATGCTAGATTATGAAGAAGTACAAATACACCCATTTCCTTTGGGGAAGAGAATGTAGTGTACCTTTAAAATTCATTTAAGAGATACATTTGGACCTAAAGACTATTGTTGTGCTTATATTTACACAGTTTTTACCTTGATGAGCAAAAATATACTATACTATACTAAATATACCTCTATAGTGCCTTTTCTTTCTTGTCATTTGGTAGTTTTGGTTTGTATAAGGCACATTTAGTATCCATAAAAAGCAACTTTCTTAAGAAATATTTCCTTTCCTGTACATCCACTTTTCTGTGTTGATGCCTCATAAAGTATACTCGGCACTTCAACGTAGAAACCTAATGACTCATTTCTCATACTGCATAAAGTAAGCAGTAGTAAGCTGTGATGCAAGCTTTAAAGCACTTAAAGCATGTCTGGTTTCGAATAAAGTCATTTGAGTCACAGAGTGAAGCAGCATGTCTGATTCCTCTGACAGGTCTTGTTTACACAGTGGATGGGCTCAGCATGTGTCAGTGAAAGTGTGTAGGTAAAGCTCTTTCCTTCAGGCCACGCTGCGGTGTCAGTTGTGCTGCTGTCCATCACGCCTGCCATTTCTCTGAGCTGACACTTCGACTTTATTTACAAGCTCTGTCTGTTCCATAAATCTGCATCTGTTAACACTTTACAACATATTTTGGCTTGATCTCAAAGAATAAAAGAGTTAAAGGGTGCATTGCAGATGCCTCACTGTCCAGGCAGTAGCTGTCCGTCAAGAGCAGTTGGAGCTGAGAGCAGTAGCCTTTCAGCTGCTCTGACCGTAGACCTCAAAATGGCTTTTACGGTAGGAAAACATTTTCAAACAGTTGTAATTAGAGCGGAAAGAACTTTTCTGAGAAAGTTAGGTATTCAGAATTATTTCTAAATGAATTTAATCTTGTTCCATAATCAATAAGTGCTGTTGTGGCAAAGACTTGTATTTCAGAAATGGTGACTAAGTTCCTAATCTCAGTTAATGTAAAGAGATTTTATTCTATATAATCTTGGACCATTTTTGTCCATTCATCATGAAACTTACTACCAAAGAGTAGTTGCAGTTGCAGGTATAAAAATTATGGAATGAAAAAGGGGGTTTGATAGGACAGCAGCAAAATATGAAATTTTTCTTACATTATTTTGTATATCTTAAGTATGATGGGGTCATCACAGCAAGTTCACTGGCCATGTTTTTACCTCCTGTTCCTTCTGTGAGCTTCTTATGAGAATAATTTTAAGAAAAAAAATGCTTTCTGATAAGAAAAAAATTCTTTGTTATAAATAGGGCAGGCTCTAATTGCTTGTGGAGATTTCTTGGATGTCTGTCTCAGCATGTTCTGGGTGGGTGAGCTCTGAGAGTTCGGCTTTTTGTTCGCGTTTGTTCCTCTCAGAGTCTTATGATTCACTGGGCATCGCCATGCAGCTTTATTCTGGGAAGCAATGTTTACCCAACACGTCTTCATTGTTTGATTTCACTTGAGACCTTTCTCCTTCTCCTGCAGTTCCTCATCAATCATGCACTGCTCGCTTCCGTGTTTTTTAGCTCTGGGAGAGCTGCGGTACTTTCCTTCCTTGTTTATCTGCTGTAAAGCTGAGCTCTCTGGTTACAGCGCTGCTAGGCCAGCCTGATGAGCAAGAATGAAACAGAGAGAGAGTGAGCAAGAGAGCTGATGAGCATGGTGAACTCTGTCTGGGTCAGAGACTGAGGGGTGAGGTGAGAGGAATGAGGGTCCGGCCATTTCCAGTGTTTCTCGAGCTGTGTTTGATTAGCCGCTCTCGACCATGCTCTGTTCTCAATTAACTCCATTTCTTCTCTCTTCTCTTTAGGAGTCACTATTCTGATGGGTTAAAAAGATGCGTGAGGGGCCATCAGCCACCCAGATCACTTTCTGAGCCTCAAGAGGGGAGGAAAACGTATAATTACCTCACTGATGTGAACACATGCTCATGTTTCAGGCACTTTCTCTGTGTTATTCCATGCTTTATCATCAGATCGCTATGATTTTTGTGAAATGAAACCATGATGACCATATGGATTTACTTAGACAAATGAGTCCATTAATGATGTTTCAGAAACCAAACTTATACAGTAATATTCTGTTGCCTGTGACAGATTCCTGTGGTTTTATCTGTAGACAGTAAACAATGGTAATAGATTAGTCAAGCATGCATAACAGCAATTTAAATAAATTAAAGCAGTTCACTTTTATTAGCTTGTGGTCTTAGTTGAATAGCTATTCATTGCCCACTTTTTTTAATGCCATGATCACATTTAAGTGTCATTAATTCAATTGCTAAAGTGCACTGACTGGAACTTATCTGAAACTTATCCGGACCGTTTGGTGGGGCAGATTAGCAAGAGAAAGGTTTGGTGAGGGGGGGCATGGTGCAGGTGCTGTGGTCTCAGCCTGTCCTGGCACAGCTCAGCAGCAGCTGTGTGTGTTTCTGTATGCGTGAATGACATGAATGAATCAGCGCTCTGGCACGGGTTGAAACCGTCCTGCTCCTGTGTGGCTGGCCTCCATAAAATCCCATCCAGATTTCCCCATGTTCTTATCATGATGGAGAGGGCAAGCATCCACAGGAGGTCCTCCACTTAACACCAATTTGCCTCCCTGCATGTGCTCTTTGATGTAGCCATCTTGGAGAAGAGGGGGGGGTCATAAATATGTGCACTTTTCAACTCGCCCCTCCACTGCGCAGGCACAAGGACCAGACCCGGCAACTTTTCCGGTCCTGGGGTCATAAACCCACCACAGGCTATGCAAACAAGGCCACGAGGCACCATGGAAGTAGCCTCGCTACATATGGATCTGGCTCTACTGCATACAGTATGCAGAGCTAGACTTCATTTTGAAATTCCTTCTAGGCCTTTAGGACTGATCTGGCTTGAAACAGATCTTCTTACATTTTGTTTTACTAGTTCTCACTTATAATTAAGTAAAATAACAAATTCTGTGAGAAGTGCAGATTTTAAACTTTTAATCAGTACATTTGTGAGTGAAGGCTGAGATATTTTCTTGTGATCTGAATTTGATAAAGGTTATTATTGTGTGTACAGTCTTGTTTGGCAGAAAGAAAAAACATCAGCCAATTATTTGCCGTGTTTGTCATTTGTAAATTATGAAAAAATTGACAAGATTTGTATCTCCTGAAGGGAATAATATTGCAATGCAAGAATACAATAGCTTTTAAAGCCTCAGCAGAAAGAGAAGAAAAAAGAAAAGGAAGATAGAAGAGAGTTTAAAAAGAGGAAGGTCAACAGATATACATTCTGAAAAAAAATCTCATCAATGAGTCATAGAATTTAATTGTTAAATTGTTATAAAATAGAAAGAAAGAAAGAAAGAAAGAAAGAAAGAAAGAAAGAAAGAAAAGAGGGAGAGAAAAGAAAGAAAAAGAAAGACAGACAAAGGAACAACAGAAGAGAGAAAAAAGAAAGGAAGAAAGAAAATTAAAGAAAGAAAGAGAAGAGTCAGAGCAAAGAAAGACAAAGGAAAAACAGAAGAGAGAAAAAGAAAGAAAAAAAGAGGGAGAGAAAAGAAAGAAAGAAAGACAAATGAACAACAGAAGAGAGAAAAAAGAAAGGAAGAAAGAAAATTAAAGGACGGAATTTGATGGAAACATAGATTAAATGCTAATAATCTATAGCATGATATTTAGAAAGAAAGAGTTTAATAAACAATGAAAAGTCTTGAAACCAACTGCTTTAAATGAAGAGATGGAGAGATGAATTAACTGTGTCAGGAGAAGAGAAAGAATAGTAGGGAAAACAGTGTAGTGCTCAAATTGCACTTCTAAGGGTTAATTATTCAAAAATTTAACTTTTCACACAAAAGCTGTCATTAATGCATTTAATGATGACACCTCCATTTCAGTAGTCTTGCTATCGAATGTTTACATTTTTGATTTGAAAAAGCAATATATTTGAGACTGTTGAGCAAATAACTGTTTATATCACTTACAAGTAAAGAAGGAGAACTTTTGGCTGCCCCTGCCACAAATTTACAAAGAACAAAACCAAAAGTAAGAGCTTTCTGTCCAAGCCAGGATCTTTATTAGCAGATTAAAAATCTTGTCATGTAGTCCTGACCTGAAAGGATTATGGCGCCAGTTGGCAAGCAGAAGGTGCTGACAATGCCCGCCCCTCTCTCACAGCTAGAGCTCCAGCCAAAGAATCAACCTGCTACAGTAAAGCAGTCATTTGCACAGTTACAGTTACTCAGTTTTTAGCACAGATGTTTTATGAAAGGAACTTGACACAGTGCACACCTATTCCTCAGATTCAACTCCTCTGTAAGTTAGTGATAAAGTACAGACAGATAGTATTTTTGGCCTTTGGGTTTTAATTCATAAAGATGGAGAAATGTGCATAGCTGGCGAGGCTTTGTTGAAAAGAGTGTCGCTGTTTGGCCTGCTGCAAACAAAGAAGGGGGCTTCTTGTCAGGCCTGAATGAGGAACACAGGAATGAAATGCTTGGAGAGCACTTCACTGGATCGAGAAGGGTCATCTCCGGATGCTGACAGAATTCTGTTAACCCCTGACTTATAGCACAAAAGCGGCCATTGTAGCAGCAGGCTGGATGTGCGTTTTTTGGGGTGCTATGGGTGAATGTAAAATAAGTCTTCCCCCTTTCTTCCTTTCTGGCATTTTCTTTCACTCTCCGGCTTTTATTTCAGACAAATGTAAAGGAAGGCCATTTACTTCAGATGCAGCGCCATTAAAACAGATTATAATGGTCCAGAAGGCCTGCTGGGGAAATAATCTGCTGTTTTAGGAACAGGTTTGGCTTTGAAATTTAGGCTTTTGAAGGCCTGGGTTTCAGCTGTTGTTCACTGACTCGAATCCCATTAACACAACATGAGAAATAAACCCCTGTTTGCTGAGGGTCATAGTCCTGTGAACGCGCTTCTGCTTCTTTTTAACCTGCTGCAAGCTGCCCAACAACACAATGAGTATTAGTTGGAAAGAAAGAAGGGCCTGGCACTGCTCTAAATTAGAAATAATTCTGCCTTTATCATGCAAAGTCAGAGCCAGGCTAAAGCGACATGTGGTACCGATTACAGACCTCAGAGATCCTGCAGGCCGTTGGACGGATGGTAGATACGGCCTCTGCAATGTCATTTCAAAAAGAGCAGCCAGTACATTTTAACTGGCCGGTAATCTGTAACACAAGCGGTAAGGGATGACAGAGATGCTTTATATTGAGGAGCGTCGGGGTGCGAACCTTATTAAAACCATCTGCTTTGAGGCTCACCTCTAGCACCTCAGACCGCTTCAAAAATGCAACAGCACACCACAGGAACGACAACATCTTTCAGCGTCCAAGGACGAAGCGTGTGAGCAGTCAGAGATAAGGGCCTCGTTCTTTGTGTGTCCTTAAACACTTTGTGTTCCAACAGGATATAGTTCCACAGAGACTAGTTTCCATAACACAACCCTGATTTGCCAAGGGTTATTCCATCTGGAGCAAAATCTGTTTACTAAACAATGTCAGTTTCCTCATGCCGAGAACGTAGTGGAGTAGCTGTGAGTTTGAGTACATCTTTCAACCAAGAGAATTTGCATAATTATTTTAGTATGATGTTTTGAGGATTTTGGCAAGATTCAAAACGTATGTACGGAAGAATAATCCAGTGCTTATGCTGAAGGCAGGAGAAAAATCACAAATTCTAAGGTCAAAGACTTTTTTTCCTTCTGATTTGTTTCTGTTTTTGATTACTCTCTACTGTAAAGTGGCCTTATTACAGTATAAGGAACATTTTGACTACAGTTTACCACCTATTAGAAGATTAGTTATGTTACTCTATTCTGCTTTAGAATTACAGTATGTAAAAAAACACACAAAGACATGAAAAATAGTTTACCTACCATAACTGTTTCAGTATGACTGTGGCCGTGGTCAAGATTAGAGCTGGAGCAGGTTTCGTGACAATACTTTTTTTATAAATGTATGTAAAGATTTTGTCCATTTTATCCTAACGTTCAAAAGTTTGCAATCACTTCATTTTAATAATTGCTGTTAATGTATTAAATTGTAACTTACATAGTGTGAAATACTATAAGCTAGATATCAGAAAGTATTTCAACCTGTCTTACTAAATTTTTTGGGAAAACCAAAAAGTTATTAAAACTGCCTCAAAATTGATGACCATGTATCAAATGTGAGGTCTTCTGGATGTGAATTCTACAACCTCATTTCCAAAAAAGTTGGGACATGGTGCAAAATGTAAATAAAATTTAAAGATGTGCAAATCATTTAAACCCTATATTTATTTGAAAATAGTACAAAGACAACATATCAAATGCTAAAACGGAGAAATTTTATAGTTTTTTTTTCAAAAATGTATGCCCATTTTGAATTTGATGTCAACAACTTGTTCCAAAAAAGTTGGGGAGGGGGGCATGTTTACCACTGCGTTTCATTGCCTCTTCTTTTAACAACACTCTGTAAGCATTTGGGAACTGGGGAGACCGACTGCTGTAGTTTTGAAAGTGAACTGTTTTCCCATTTTTGCTTAACATAGGATTTCAGCTGCTCAACAGTTCAGGGTCTCCTTTGTCATATTTTTCATTTTATAATGTGCCAAATGTTATCAGTGTGTGACAGGTCTGGACTGCAGGCAGGCCAGTTTTTCAGAAGTGTTTCTGAGCCCCTGCAGTGATTTCCACTGCAGAATCATGTCTGTTTTTAATGCAGTGCCGTCTGAGTTTATGGCCAGCAAATACTGGTTTTTGGCCTTGTCCCTTGCATGCAGATTCTCTGAATCTTGCAATGTTATTATGTACTGTAGATGATGAAAAGAAAAAGTCCTTTGCTCTTTTATGTTGAGAAACGTTATTCTTGAATTGTTGCACCATTTGCTTGCTCAGTCTTTCACAGGGTGGTGAACCCCTCCTCATCTTTACTTCTGAAAGACTCCTTTCTGCCTTTCATGCCTTTCTGGCATGCTTTTTTATACCCTATAATGTTACTGACCTGTTGCCAATTAACCACCAGGTGTTTTTTTAGCATTACACAACTTTACTAGCCTTTTGTTGCCCCCCGTCCCAACTTTTTTGGAACGTGTTGTTGGCATCAAATTCAAAATGGGCAAATATTTTTCAAAAAACAATAGAATTTCTCAGCTTCAACATTTGATATGTTGTCTTTGTACTATTTTCAATGGAATATAGGGTTTAAATGATTTGCAAATCATTGCATTTTGTTTTTATTTACATTTTTCACAGCTTCCCAACTTTTTTGGAAATGGGGTTGTATTATAACATCATTCTTAATGTTTTATTGCTTTCTCATTTATCAAGAAATCATCTACGGCTCTGTTCATCATATTGGACACATCTAAAATGCTACAGCTGTAGCCTTTTCATTTAATCGTTTAATCATTTTGTGCATTTTACATTTTATTGGAAACAAACTTTTGAATTGTTATTCCAAATCTCTGAATTCTAGAGCATAGGTGCTTAAAATTTGCCACAAATTTCTGATATGATAATAACTTTTCTTTTCAATAAAATGGCTGCTGCAAAACCTGCCTCATGTATGTGTGTTTATTATGTACAGTCATATGCAAATAATTGGGCGTCCCTGGTCAAATGACGTGT